TTGCTGTTTTTTTTTTTTACACTTTAGCTGCTAAATGGACAGAGGCATGCCTCAAATCACTCCTTTTTCATCATACAATACTTAAAACGTATCGTGTGTGGAACGTTGTTCTAGTGTTTCGGCTGTTTCATTTTATCGAATAGTATAGTAGGCAGTTACACCTCGCCCTGTAATATTGCGACGCGCGGCAAATTACAATGTAAATTCGTGAACTAATCCTAATTTGATTGTCTGATTTACATTATTTTATGGCGGCGTTACAATTTAATAATCACTTGTCTCATCCAGTAAGCCGCCACTGCATCACATAGCTTAAGACATAAGGTACACCGGGGGAAGTGGAGCCGCGATTTTCAATAGTTCAAGTTTAATCTTTCACAAAATCGTTATTTTCTCACCAATTGCTGCGAAATTTTAAACGTACATTGTCTCATATGTTCACTGCACATGTAAATAAATTTGTGACGATATGCTGACAACATTTTGTGTTATAAAAAATTATGCCCAAAAAACGCAATGGGTTACACTTTCCCCGACCTTCGGGGTAAGTGTAAACCATGTGGATATTTTAGCTAAAAACGCGTATTAAAGTATGTGGGGTAAGTGGAATGAAAAGTCAACGTTAAATTATCTAGAAAAAAATTTTACTGTTTTGATTTTTAATTCACATTGAGACTATCAAAAGATACATTGAAGGTAAACTTTCCCCTCTTAAGTATTGGTTTGGGTAAAATCATTATGACTTGGTCCAGAGAAAACACAGAAGTATCTGCGACCACAGGAAAGTGAAAGTAGTTCGAAGAGCCTATTTTTCGAGCAAATGTTGCTTCCAGTTCACTGTTTGCTTGCGTTACTTGCCCGACATAACACTTGAAGCTCTTCTTTGAAGCAAACTTCACCAATATCCAATCATCTTTTTCTAACTCTTCACATTTTTTGTTCAACATCCCCATAAACTCATTTTCTTCGTTATACTCATCTGCTTCATCTTCTAAATTGGTATCATCTTCTGAATCAGATGGTAATTGATCTCTATCAATTTCGTCATTTGACGATTGCTCATCATTTATATCATCTCCTTGGTTTGCTTTATTCTTTTCTTGTGCTTTCTTTTTAGTCTGTGTATTTCCTCGTCTTGATTCCTTCAGTTTCTCTAGTGCTTCTTGTGTTGTTATTACCTCCGCTCCAGCACATACGCGTCTTCGCTTACTTGACGTTCTTGGTGCCTGTTTTAGCTGTTCGAGAAGCATCGTTTCGAAAGATAAATTTTCTTGAACAACAGTTGGTAAAATTGAACTAGAAGTCGATGGCATCGGATCTACAGTGTTACTAGTCACGACCTCTCTGAAAATGTTATCAGCTGTTTGGTGCTCTTCATTTTGGGGCACATCTGCTTGCTGAATGGAGATGCCACCATTGGAAATATTATCACCTATTTCTTGACTTTGACGCCATCTCTGATATGCACCCGTCTCAAATTTTTCTTCTGGAATCACCGCATTGTTAAATGGATGAATGCCACCTTTCTCAAATCCTTTTGCTATTATTGCCGGATTTGCATTGCGCCAGATACGTGAAATAATTGAGGCAAATTCTGACTTTGGGAGCTTATGTCCATAATTACGTCGTTGCCATTTTATAAGTTCTTCATCATACATTATTTTCAATGGCCGAAATACCGCCAGGTCCATTGGTTGGAGCAAATGACTCGAATGAGCAGGTAACTTTAAGATAACAACTTTTTGTTTCATGGCCATTTCTACCAATGATACCCCCACATGCGAATTATGGCCATCATAAATTAAAACCACAGGTCTTTCGGGACAAACGTTTTTTAAAAAATTATTTTGAAAATAATTTTCAAAAGTTTGCGTATCCATCCACCCATTTTTGGACGCAGCATATGTCATTCCCGGATACCCCTCCTTTATTGACAGCCAACTGTCCCAGACATTTTTTCCTCTAAATACAATTAGGGGAGGCAGCTTCTCCCCAGCAGCATTGCCCCCAAAGAGGACAGTGATGTTTTCTCTACCTGGGCCACTTGTAACCCGATGAGCTGCTGTCCCTCTTTCACCTACAACTTTAATTCGAGCTGGGTCTACACAAAAACTTGTCTCATCAATATTGTAGATTTGCGACGCTGGTATATTTTGAATATTCTTTTTAAGCAGGTTGAAATAACTATTTATTATAAAAGGGTCCATGCTACGTTTGCGGGCTACTTCTACAGCTTGCGGTTTCTTTTGGCTTAAATTATGGTCTCTTTTAAATCTTGAAAAAAAATCGTTTCCTGGAATGCCATTTCGGAAAGGTGTCTTGATGTTGTTAGCATTAATGTAACGACCGATGGTTTCCAAAACTTCTTTTTTCGACAAACCAAATCCCCATTTCTCCATTATCTTGATTCCTGACGCGATTTTTTCTTCAACATCATGAGGAAGCGCAGGTGCTCTACCCAAAGAACTACTCTTCACGCCACGCAAACCTTTCACACGTTTATAAATGGTTGCTTTGGGTATTTTATAGGTTTTTGCCGCTCTATACATAGTAAGTTCTCCGTTTTTAACCGCCTGTACTGCCGATTCAAGATCCTCCTTGGTGTATTCAGGTGGTTTGGTCTTCCGGATATACGTTCGTGGCATTTTCTTGAAAAATATGGGCATAATTAGAGATAAGAAAACCAAGGAATCAAGAGAAAGATAATGAAGAGTTAAGTGGAACCTACAGGGGGGAAGTGTCACCCTTAGTAGGTGCCATTTACCCCAAGAGGGATTTTTCCGGGGGTAAGTGTAACCCACACGGTTGAACATACAGAAACGTTTAGACCAGCAAAATATCACACAACAGCTGTACCTTAAATCTATATTTGCGATACTCACCAACAACCCACAGAAAAAAGCAATAAGTAATCGTTTTATTTCCAGTTAAATGCACAATCGCTGCACTGCACTTACGACCAAAACAAACACGTTGAAGGTTATTTCACGCTGGCGGGAAAGCCGTATGAGATATGGGTAGTATTGTGATCTGTAGCGCAAGTGCACATTACATTGAAGTGATTCACCGGCAGATGGCACTGTGAATGGTATATTTTAAAATAATTATCGCGATGGGTTCCACTTGCCCCAAATTGACACTTTCCCCGGTGTACCTTAAATGTAATGTAAACATTTTCGTCAAAGCTTGTGCAAAATAAACCCATCTTAGCGTAGTGTCAAAATGTGTGGCATTTTTACCACCTAAACGAGAAAATTTGTTAAAAAACAAACGCTTCAAGATATTGGTCCTTTGAACCTAATCAAATTTCTTTTTGCTATTTTTGCCTTTTCAAATACTGTAACTACTTTTAAAAAATCCCAACAACTTGTTCACAAATAGCTTATTTTACCCAACAGAAAAACAATAAAAAAACGTCAATCGATAGATAGTAAAGAAAGATGCGTCCAGTTCCACTTAAAAAAATGGCAGGGAAAACAAATTTCGATTGTTTCTAAGATGTACAGTCAAATACATTATCAAATAATTGAACTGAAGGATACAACAAAGACGTACAATTCATGGGCATAGGCGCAACTAGGGGGGGGGGGGGCTAAGCCGCCCCAAGCCATGCGACAAATCATAATTTGTATATCGTATGCAGCTTTAATTATTTGCCCTGAAAACCTGTATTTTATTTTTGAACTCGCTTGCTACCCGAGCGGAAGATTGTAGGCGTCGCCGTCGGTCGGTCGTGAACTATTGAGTCATCTCTCAAGCTGCAATCATATTGCCAGTTTCTTCAGCAACCTGTGAAAGGTCATTTTCGGCTATGCAAAATTTATGAGCTGGTTAAAAACAACAATGGCTCAAGACCGTTTCTCTAATATTTCTCTTTGATATATAGAAAGAAGCGTTTCCGTCGATTCCGAACAAATTGTTAATAAATTTGCAAAAAAAACTAGTAAAATACCCTTAGGCCTGTAGTAACATCAATCAAATTTACTTCTTGTATTTTTTTATAATAATAAACGTGTAAAAAAATATAGAAAACGAGCTTCTGGGTATTCCTATAGCATGTGGAAAACCAAATTTTGAAACTAGCGTTAAATTTGCTTTTATTCCAAGTGGTTATGTATCAAATTTCATTTAAATACCTTCATAAATAAGAAAGTTAGCAATTCGATTTATAAATGGTCGAGATGCGAAGAGGGCACTGGGAATGCTGATCGATTAGGCTCAACTTTTGGAATTGCGTCTTATATGACTAAAGCCATGCTCATAATGAATTTTATGCAATTCGGTTCATAACTAACGGAGATGTCAAAAGGGACTTCTTTACTTTTTGGCCTACATTGCCAATTCACGAACTTCGATCTACAAATATGATAAAGAATCCACCTGCAAAATTTCATCGTAATCGGTCCATTCGTTTACGAGATATCGTGCTAACGGACGGACAGGCACCGCAAAATAATAATAATAAAATAATTTGATAAATTTACATTTGGTAATGTCTTTAATAAAGTGAATGTGATGCTCAGAATTCAGAAAATGTTCAACTTAGTAGAATGGGAATGCTAAGGAAAAGAGATAAAAATTGGATGGTTTTTTGGAATGGGCTTTATAATGTACACCGGGCTGTAGCCCCCCCAAAAGTTAAAGTCTAGTTGCGCCTATGTTCATGGGCGTTCGTTTTTAGCATATTGCGCTCATCAAACAACAGACCTAAACTACTTAAAAAATCTTCCGCTATGAGTATTAAATTATCAAGTTAACAAGGCCATATAGACTGACAGGCAAATACCTGAAAGTATATCATAAAGAAGCTTTAAATCCTAAAGGCGTCATTTGAGCCAGATTGAATGTTCATAATCATAAATAAATCATTAGGGAACTATTCCTTTGAAGATGTGTAGCAACATTTGATTAGGTAGTTCAACTTTTGCTTAGCCGTAATACAATCTTATTTTTCAATCACATTTCAAATTATTCTGTTGACTTTCAAAACTGCATTACTCTTGAATCACACAGCCCAAATAGACTTTTAATAATTATGCTGGAAAAATGGTTTTACAGAACAAAAACAAAACAATTTTCCAATTATGATTTCCCCTTAATAAGTTACATTTCAGTTTACTTTACAGGACAATTTTTAAGAGTGAGTGACAAAAACTTTCCTTTGCCAGGAACATAGAAAGGGGCACCCTTGTAACAAGCTTCTAAAGTCTCATTTGTGGCTAAATCAGGCACAATAGCTTCGAATATTTTCTTTTTAGGATTCATAATCAGGTCTGGATTTCTAGTATATCCTTCACAATGTACCGCTTCGCCGGCGATACAACCAGGTGGTGGAGACAAAACTTCGATTGCTTCTGAGCACGATGCACACATGATCATAGCTTCTGATGTGACACCACGCATCTACAATACAAGTGATTAAAAAAAACATAAGCTCCCAACCATAGTACCTTTGCAGGCTTTAAGTTACATAACAGCATCACGCTTTTATTCTCCAACTGTTCAATTGGTACAAATTTAACGAGACCTGAACATACAGTCCTTGGCTGATCTTCACCGCAGCTAATTTTTAAAACGTACAAGCTGTCTGCATCGGGATGTTTCTTGACATGCTCAATTTTGCCTATCCTCAAGTCCAAACGACCAACATCAATAATCTCTTCGGAATCTTTGGCATTGTCATTCTTTGGTTTTGCAACCTGCTCGGTCTTCTTCTTACTTGCACTTTTCTTTTCATTTTTCTCTGCAACAGCAGCTTGCTGCTTGGGTATCTCTTTACAGGTGTCGCTGATCTTTGCGGATTTGTTGAGGACAATCCCCACTTGCTTCACACCATTTTTAATTTCCAAATTCACCAAATTTTTTTTCGTAGCTTCTACTGCCAATAAAAGTTTTTTATTTTCTTCTCGCAATTGATGGCATCTTAAAGTGTTGTATGCTTCCGTGATTATCTCCAACTAGATAGAATATTCCACAATGATCTAATTATACTCTATACCTTATTAAACTAACCTCATCCTTTAATTGGGTAATGGTTTTTTGGGCTTCATTTGCCTGTCGTTTTACGTTTTCTAATACAACTTTTGCCGACATGTTTAGAAGATAAAAAAAATTCTTTTTAAGTCCTAAAATCGGTAACATTAACACACCACGGCACAAAAAGTTAACGATTCGAAGATTTAACAAAATGTCACGCAGGAGGAGAAGAGAACGGTTGGTTGAGCCAGCGAATACAGAATTTGGCCCGGTTTTGTCTGAGGACACACCGCAATCCAAAAATGTACCGATAATATACAGGGTGCTCGGTTGTTCACGTCCGACCTTACGCGTCTGTAAAGAGTAGGTAGATTCAGAGACTTGCTATAACTAGACTGCGCTTAACGTATCTAAGGTGTTGTCGACACAGTATGCAACACACAATGCACCGCGGGGCAAAAATCGTTGAGATGATATGCAATATAATGAAATGAGCTGTTATTTTAGATGTTCATTAATCATCCTCGTGATTAGCTCGAATTAGTGAACAGATAAATTTCTGTTGAGAATAAACCAATAAACTTAGGTTAACTTGTGCCTATCAACATGTACTCTGTCGATAAATTTTTAAATAATATGCTGATTTTCAACGGATAAAAGTTTAAAAGGCCAATATGGATCAGAGCCATTCGAAGAGAAAAATTTACTCCCACCATAGTGCATTTGCGGGGAAGAAGCCGCTTTTAGAAAGATACCTACGAAGGTGTTAAACAATAATGCAATACCGAGCGTTTTCGACTTTCCCATTCACTTAAAATAACGTAGAACTATTATTCGACATCCTTTACCAGCAAGACAACGGCAATACCTATTTGCCTATTAGGTATAGAGGTAACTAAGTACTTACTGGTACTAAGTATATTTCAGGTTTTGTTACAAGAAAAATGTTCCATATGTGCAGATGCGATATTCGCATCAGAGAGTCATTCAAGGCTTTTAACTAGAAAAAATCGTGGAGGATTGTTGCACGTATCAAGCGATGCATTAAAAATTTGCCAAATTGATGAAAATGTGTTCAGGTTTTTCATTCAATCCACACCACACCGCATTGTAAACAAAATGGTTATCAGCAGTCTAAGAAAAATAAATAACAGTTAGGTACAGCCCATTTGGGTTTTTGGATAGGCAAATATTGAATCAAAATCCGCTAAATAATCATATCTTACTACTTCTTCTTCTATCTTTAGTTTTAAGAGTATATTTTCCCATACGTGTTCACCCTCAAAATACACATATAAATCAAATTAGGACTAGAGGAAGGCAGTTATATACCAATTTAGTTCAAATAAAATACCAATAAATTCGATTAAAACAGTTAACAGCTATATGTTATCTTTTTTTGCTACTAAAATTTTAAATTTAGAATAAACATGGCTAAAGCAAAGAGTGTTCGTTGTACTCTTTGGCTAAAGCAAGCTGCAGAACGTACGTCTGCCCCGCGATGAACAGTTGGTTGCCTATCCTATCTTGACAACAGGCGTTTATAGTAAAATCTACGTTACGCGCGCTCTAGTTATAACAAGTCTCTGGGTAGATTGGACAAGTACTTTTCTACGTAATCGACAAGAACCTTTCCTTCATAGAATATGTGAGAGAATTGGAACGGCATCAGATGAAGTAGCCTATATCTTTACAAAGCTCGCTACTACCACGTCCAACCTTCACTGCACTTCTCCATTTACTTGGACCATGGACCAATGTATTTTTAGTCTATGGTTAAACTGTTTCATGTTGAAAGGGACAGTGTTAAAATACTGGATTACTACCCTAAGAGCAGGCCCGAAAAACTCTTAAGTTTGGACAAAGAGTAGGTATAATTACTTTTAAGTTTGAGAAAGTCTTCCATATACCCCAAGTAAAAGGCTGAGAATAGCCGTTTGGACTTGGGAAACAACAGTAATTGCCACCTTTGCAGTCCTTTTGAATCTTTATTTGGTGCTGCCTCCATATAAACTACACGAACTGTCCCTACCGTGGAAAAACAAACCACCATCAACGTCTACCGCCACCACCGAAACGATCCCATTGGCGCACCGCTCCCCACGAAATGTACCCAGGCGCTATCCGCAGCTTCCGTCGTCGGTGATGGGATAGACCACCTGGAAACCACCACCAAGAAACACCGAAACGCCACGAGCGACATATCCAACTTTCACTGAGGACGTTCTAGACGACATGCTCTCGTCAAGCATTTTATTGAAAGGTGCACTCCTGTCGCCGAGCTATGGATCATCGCAGACATACCACAACCCACCGTCTCCCAACGGAAGTCTTACGTCTTGTTGCTCATCTCCTATGAGCTAATGATACATCCCCATATGCACTTGCAAATTCTACACCGCATGGCTTTGCTGAAATCAAAGCAATGCTGACCGGCCGCATCTAAAGTCCTGCAGGCCTAGGCAGGAACATATACTTACCTGACGCAACGTGACGTGACGGCTCTGACGCCACTCAGCGCAACGCAGATCTATATAGATGCTGAATTATTCTTAGACTAGGAAAGAGAGAGGACGGGTAATACTTTCAATAAAACTGTGACAATTTGTCACCAAGGCACACCTGCCAGTGTCGTAACAAATAAAAATTATTCCTTTTCCTCTTCTCAAAGTACGGGGTGGAAGGGGGAGAGTGGAACTAGTTTTTTCCTTCATGGTAGGTATTCTAATGAAAGGTCTCAACAAAAGGAACCAATTTCTACCAACCATAGCCCTCCTCCTCGACCTCATATCGTGATCGGGTATATTCCCTTATAACGGGCGATCAAAAATGAGATGCTGTCGAGTCGCCCTTGGGAAGTTCAAGTTAAGTACGATTTTCCATGTAAACAAAAATTCCAAAGGTGACTCGACAACAGCTCATTTTTGATCGCATAGTACATCTAGAACGGATTGTCGGAAGAGGGTACTCACAAAGGGCGATTGAGACGTCTGCAAGAAATATATTCATTGGTGATGTCAAAACAAAAGCTATTTCGGTTTAAAAAAATGTGCTTTATCTGTACAAGACCTGTGCACAATTTATACTTGTTTTTATTCTTAGGGTATTTTAGTTCTGATCGAAGGTCAGAAATAAAGTTATGTGGGACCCGGGGAGGAGGAGGGTACTACAGAATATAAATTCTAATTCAAGAAAATCCGTCCGGACGGTTGCAATAATTTAATAATACCTTTAGTAAAAACAGTAATAAATAATTAAGTATACAAACTTCTAGTACGCCGCTATACATGCACCTATTTACAATGTACAAAAGTTTAATTTAATCCTAAGCGGTACTTGTAGACAATTTATTGTTGAGAACATCGTGACTACCATAAAAAGATGTAAAGGTGGTATTTGTGCTTATGGTAATCGGTAACGTATCCATACTGTTAATTGTCCCAAACGTGGAAAGCATATGACCATTGTGATCTGGACTCAGGGACATATGATGTTCTCTGATTTGACACTCTGGCCTAAAATTTATAGGGAAATAATTTTGAAATTGCAGGCTATAGAAAAAAGAAAACAGTTCTGCTACAGCTTGAGGTACTTGAGGTCTTACTATCTACGGTTCTTATACCTGCTGGAAATATTTCGAGTTCTTTGAGAATCGGAAGGCAAGTACTGAGCAGCAAACGGTGTCGGCTTGATTACGTAAATATAAACACCAATCATTGTTAGTAAATAGGATAAGAAATAAAGCGCGTGGCACTACAGAACAATACATCATGATTATTTTTGTAAACCTTAACACACAATTTGTACTTACCTTGTAGTTTAAAAGTACGGTACCAGTCACCAGTGTATAGAAGTTTCCAGAAAGTAGTGATAAATGTAAGGCAGTGGTTCCCATATTTTGTAAGAATATGCATGATAAAATGCAAAATACGAATTGTGAAATAGAAAATGTTGTCAAAATATTTATATATTGTTTCCACGAATCGGTTAGTAATTCTTGTTTTTCCAAAATTACCCTTAAAAAATAAACATGAAATGATAAACTTAACATTAATGGTGGGTTTACACAACCATTATCATTCACTATCAATAAATCATTAAGAAATAGCCAATATATAGGTATATGGTTTCGTTGGTTAGCGATGCACAATGAGCCTTTGATTCTATTGGCTATTTCTTAATGATCTATTAATAGTCAACTAATGATAATGATTGTATAAACCCACCAGAAGTTTCCTATAGATAGTCTATAGTACAGATGCTCAAATTATCATTTGAAACAAACCGCAAAAATCACAATTAATTTAATAAACCGAATGCGTTTCGACGAAAACGCTGTCATCATCATACAGTAGCAAGAGTGAGGCATTCACATACAGGGTGTTCATTTCAAAACTTCCCAACACGGATTTATCACTGATTAAAGGAAAAAACGCAGAGACCAGCCAAAAACTACTTCATCTCTTTTCACCCTCTACCCCCCCAGGGATTATTCCCTTAGAAATATTAAACGACAATTGGTATCGAGTAATAGGTAGCTTGTTTGAAAGGTCTTTTGAAGTCCTTTATTTCGAAGTTTGATTTTTTTAAATCGGTCAATTCGTTTTCGAGAAAATTAGAAAACTTTTTATTTAATTGATTTAATCGATCTATCTTAATTTGTTCAGATAGAAAGCAAAAACAAATGAAAATATCACTTATTTGTTGCTATGGGAAAGAAAGAATTTA